GTATTTACAACTGTATACAAAAATTACATCTAGTAAATTCGCACATGGATATTATGACATGAAACACATGTTGAGAACTACCCATTGGTAGCACTCTAATAATATGTCTATATTAGGAGATCACGTGACCATCTTCTTTTCAGATGCCTCGGAGGGTTATCAGGAATTGAATAGGAAGCAAGGTTAGAAACAAGAGGGTTGGGATGGTTATGAAGTTTATTATGGAAGGACAGATATCTGGATTGGGCCAAATCTGATACATAAGCAACATTAAGGTCATTATGGATGATTTTATTTTATTCGTAAGGATTGGATACGAGAGGAATTTGAAGGTTTTTTGGAGTCCCATAGCCCAACTCCGTCAGTCCAAATAGGCCTTATTATAATTACGTAATTGAGTCTTTTGTAATTAATTGGAAGGTTAGAGCGTTTTTCTTGTAAGTGTTGAAGTAGTCGGAAACGTCGAGCTGTTTCTTGTCGTTTCAGTCTGGTATGAGGATTCCAAGTTAGAAGTTTGTCCAGATGGATTCCTAGGTAACTTCCTGAATTAAGCAAATAAATCAAGACCAGGATGAAGTGCTTCTGGGTACTATTTTTTCTTCATGCCTAAAACGTCAATTTCTTTTTTATTAGTTACAGCACTATTGCCTCTTGTCAAGCTCATTACAGGTTTATACGGAAATATGAAAAATGCAATTGCTTTGATAATATGGATTTAAAATAGATAAAATATACTCTTAAAACACTCCAAGAAAAAATGAAACAAAAAATTTAAGATAAATTGAATTAGTTAAAGAGAAAAAGACAAACCCTGGGTATGTTGCCCTTAATGATAGGTCTTTGTTCCTGGGACATTACGTGCACTATAAAGGAACTTCCTATTTTGCTACTCATTATTTAGGTAACGCTTTCCGGCTAGACTTATTATTCCTATTTTTCAAGGAGGATGTCAGGTAATGGTTCTCTGTCAACTAATGATGCTTTTACAATATATTGAGAAAAAGAAAAGGATTTACAACAACGTAAAATGTTGTAAATGTTTCTACTAAGTTAACAATGGTTGCCAAGATGGCGTGTGATTTAGTTACGTGGCTCACTGCTTAGCCAATATTGGAAGCACGTCTAAACCAGCCTAGAGCTGCCTTTGAACTCGCTTTTCTTGGTTTCCATTTATAATGAATACAACTTTTGCTAAAGATGATCTTCTTACGTGTTTACAGGCCCATAACATTATAGTGGGAAATATTACATTGAAATCATAAAAAATCTCAAATTAAGGGTGTACATTGCTATGATAACGCCTGCTCTAATATCAAACCTAGAAAAAAGTACTGAAAGATTTGAGAGAAAAATCCTCCGGGATCAGAGTACTGACACATGGAAAAAAAGGACGATTAAAGAGCTACCGAAATTGGTCAATCAATATCTCATTATATGAAGGGAGGGAGATTTAGATAAACGGGGCATGTAGACCGAGAAATCCATCTGGAAGCCTCTAAACGACAATAAATGGCTTGATGGTTGACAAAAGACCACATGGAAGACCAAAATTCAGATGGATAGATCGAATAAACAAAGATTCAGTGGAGCTTCTTGAAATAAATACTCCAAAATAGGCAGATATTTAGTTGGCTTGTTGAGGCAACAAAAGATCTCCAAGGTCTGTATTGTCTACCTCTTAAAATAGGTAAAATAGATCAGAGAGTATGTAAGAAGGAATAAGTAAAAATAAAGGTTATTTGCCTATTTCTCAAATATTCACTGAGGTGTAATTCTCGGGAGGTTTGTTATCGTCTTGACAATGTTCTTAGATCAATGATTTCCCTATTTTTGTAAGTTCTTCTATGTTTATAGAACCGAAAATTACTCCATTCTTCCTTAACTAAAAACAAGTCGTCTTCACCAAAATCCATATGTAAATATAAAAAACGGTAACAAAATCAATATTTTTTTGGTATTACATATTTGATCGATTCGAAGTCTTTTAATAATTAAAAAAAAAAGAATATATACGGGATTCCTCAATTCTTAATGACCAAATTGTGGAGGGTGATTCCAAACAAAATTTCAAAGTTCAACAAAAAAGTTTATTTGAGACATGGACCAAGGAGTTAAGACCACTTTTGTGATTTTTTAAAGTAGTCTAGGTTTTTGTTGAATAAGAAGGAATTGCTCAAAAACTGTTAAAAATGATTAAATTCTAAGTACACCATTGTATAATAGACAATTTTTCTTTAAAATAACAGGGATTAAATTTAGTATGATCAATGTTAAAAGGAACTTTCAGTAGGTCTAATATCTGAGCAGCATCTTTCTGAAAGTCTCTTTTATTATTGACCTTACTAAACTTGATCACTGTTTTCTAAAAAAAAAATAATGGTGTCTAATTTATGATTATGTACTTAGAATTGAAAAACTTGAACATTTTCTGAGTGATTCCTTCTTATTGGCTAAAAACTGTGACAACCTTAAGAAAACACAAAATTGATCTTAACTGTTTTCCATTCAGATCCCCTCTATCCCTTTCCCCTCCTGTATCCAATAAACTTTTTTCTTAGAAATTTTGTCTAGAACCACCATCTAGAGACGAATTTAACTCTACTTTTTCTGTCATTCCTTCCCTCGCCTTTTAAGCAATGCGGGGTTTTACTAGGCCAGGTGGTGACGGCGTGGACATAATTCCAGAGTTAAAAGCCCCCGGCACCGTGACGTGAACTCTTAATTAGTTTATTAATTAATCTTTCATCAGGTTGCTATGAAACGCAGTGCTCACAAGTGTTAGCCCGCTCGGCCACCTCACATTTGGACTCCATTTAAATAACTTCTTGATAAACTTCACGACCATACCATCAATTTCATCAATATAAAAGGAGCTGGTTAAGAGATGTTCGGGATTATATTTTTTATTTCAAGTTATTAGTAACTGTCGATGGGTACTGACCCTGTTTCTGGTGTTTTAGAGGCTGTGATAAAGAATAAAGACCTTATTTGTACAATGATTCTAAATATTGGTCTCCTCCATAATGTTTTATTTATTTACAGTTATTTATTTGTTATCTGAATTCGCCTCTACCCGATAGGGTCATTGTCAATTCTTTCTTCACTCCAGTTTCTTATATTCTATTGTAGAATCCCATTTTTTTTTTTAAGTCATCAGAATTTCCACATCTTTCTCGGTATCTTGTAATATTTCCTGAACATTACTGTGTAGATTGAGTTTTTTCTCGTGGCTCCATAGTATTCACAATCCACGTATATATGGTTCACGGTTCTAGAGGAACCACACCTGACCGAGGTATAGGTCCGAATAGGACACTGTGACGTCCTATTCGGAGGCGCCACAGGATTATTTCCTCTTTTCTTCATTTCCTGTTACTAGTGCAACATTTAGCACTGTTTGCTTTTATTTGGACAAGTTTAAACAGATATCAGGAAAATTATTTACGGTTACATCATCGTTCCAGCGATTGATAGATATAAAGTGACAAAAAATAATTAATAAAATATTTAGAAATAATAATCGAATTTAAATTATAAGATCTGTACGTTAACTACTGTTTTATAATATCCAAGTGAAATCAGTGTAACATAAAATAAAATTTAAATTATTAATTGCTACTTTACAAAGCCTTGAGGTTATAAATACATATTTTTAATATTTAGGCATCCTAGCACAGTTTATTTTAACTTTGTTATCCATTGAACATTGTATAAACAATTTACTAAGAAATTTTAGATATATTTATCAAATTATGTTCATTGAATATTTACCAAAAATACTGTTTACACCACTTTACTAACAATATCTATATATATAAAAATGAATGTATGTCTGTCTGTTTGTCCTTTGTGCATTACTAAACCATTCATCCGAACGCCATGAAACTTTGGGAAGTTGTTCCGTACACTCCTGGGAAGGTTTCTGGAATAGTATTTCTGTCTTACGATAATTTTATATATGTAAAAAAAATAAAAATGTAAATGTTTTATTGTTCAAAGCCGCAAAAAAATGTGTCACTATAAACTGTAGCGCCAAAACGGCTTTACCGATTTTAACGAAACTTGGCTAAAGTCTTCCCCTTGAAACCCTTTTAATTTATGTGTATAACATATTTTCCCGAAAACAAGCTGGAAAATGTTACGATGAATTCAATATTTTATTTGACGACAGCTAAAAAAGTACAGGATTTTTGACTGATAATACCCATATTTATATGAAAGATTTCTGAATTGCTGACAAAATAAAAAAAAATCATCAAAATCGGAAGGTTTCTGGCAACGTTATAGAATTTTAAACATTTACTGCTTTCTCTTCGGAAAAGGTCATTTCCTTTTGCTTCCTCACTACTGAAGGGTGGCAAGCATTTTTAAAATTTTTTTTATTGATTAATGGAAAATTTTATAATTACTACAGTAATGTGTTTATAAGTGCTACAGTAAGTAAGTTATGTGATTCTCCTTATGTAGGTCAATACTATTATACAATCTTTATATTAATTTTTTTATTTTAGTTTTATAAGTTGAACTCAGACTGTTTCTGATGATTATGAATGACGGCGTATTTACTCAGATGATTATGAATGTTCAATTTGTATCATGAGAAAAAAAATCATTAGAATTAGTTTAAATTGAAGCCATTTCACAGACAAATTAGTTTCCTAACTTTTTAAAAATGACAGATGTCCTTTGCTACTAATCTACTCACATGTGCTTTCTATTTTCTTTCTTTTTCATTTTGCCATGTTAAGCCACAGCAGCGCGTGGCCGGGTAAAGCTAGTGAGTTTATATATGTCACTGAAATTCTCACAATTATTCTTGCAGCAGGAATATTCGTGTTATAAATGTTTTTTATTTTATAAATTCTTTCACCATATAAGTAACTTCAAAAATGTTTTATCTTTAATAATTCGGACTAAGTATATTTTTTGAAATGGATGAATATATACTCATTGTATTTTAGCATGGAATAAACATTTTATAATTACATACATATTCTTAGGAGAAACTTGGAGTCAGAGAAATTACGAATGTGGGAAACGAATTTGCGTTAGGAACTACAGGCCATTTTGTGGGGAGCGTGAGGACGCCGATGGCAGAATTGAAGAGAAAATGTTTTTTAATAGATGTGATTTCGATCTTTCTCAAGATTGCGATGAGGGTAGGTATTTTTTTTAAATATTTTAATATTATATTTAATTAATTAATTTAATTTTAATATTTTTAGTATTTTAATAAAATAAAGTCCCAATTTGACTATGTTAAATTTTCAACTATCTGCTTCATTATTTATGAATAGAAAATTCTGATAGATTTGTTTGTTTCTTCAGGTTGGGTCCCATGCAAAACTAAGAAATACGTATAAAGAGAATCACCATCAGGGTAAAATAAAATAACATAATTAGAAGCTTTTCTTGATTTACACCACATATTATTAACTTTTATGATGTAATTTTTCTCTCCAATGCCAAAACCTAAGCTCGTATATCACAATGCATTCCATAGAATTACATACAAGCATTCTTGTGTATTTTTTATTATTAATTTGACTAATATCTACAAGTTTTATTGATTTAAAAAAAAATGGTATTGAAATATAGAAAAAAAAGTACTTTAAAATATTATATAATTTTTTTTTTACTAATACGTATGTAAATTAAGAAATAAGACGAATATTTATTTAACCCCCTCTAACTTTGATATATAGATATGGAATTTTAATGTAATTTTCCTATTTTACCCGGGTATATGAGCCGTTTATTTTGAAAGTGGCCGAGCAAATACGATAAATTTTTGACACATAAGTTTTCAGAATTATTTCAATAACTGAACCGTGTAGTTTGAATGTGGCCTAACTCCATTTATTTTATACTTACATCAAGATGTTTACTATTGATAATGTTGGAAATGAAAAATTTATTTGATAATTTTATTGTAAATGAAATGAGACAAAAAGATTTTGTATCAACAAAATTATTAGAAGACGCAATTTTTAAAAGGGTAAAGAATTCTGATGGATAATTAGTAAATTGGTTACAAATAATTTGGATGCGTTTTATCAGAAATGAACCGTTTACAATTTTCTATAAGACAACAATGAACATTTTAAAGTCCTGAATTTATTATCACGTTGGGGTAGACCAAGAAAATTCGAAAATATTGTATTGACACCACTCTATAACAATATCAGACAAATTACAACAACAAAATTTAAGGACATGATTGACTTATTGCGATATATACCACCGTATATACCTTCGAACATCATGACTACTTCAAAGCCCTTTCACACGCGCAAAATGTAGATAAATAGTAAATTATTTGTTAATAAAATGTTTGTAATTTTGTATGTTCTGTAATTAAAAAATGTTTTGAATCGCATAAATTGTGTTTCCGAAGTGTTTTAAAGATATGTAAAATAAATTGAGTATTGTGTTTTTCAATTTGAAGCATCTTAAATTTCGTTGAATGGACTTTAATGAAATGAAAAATGACTTCTTAGGTATCTTCAAATTTTATAATGAATCTGGTTGTTAATTTTGAAAGTAGCCTTACTCCATTCTTGATAAGAAAACGGACATTATTCACTAATTAATTGTTACTAATTTAATAGGAACCATAAATTTAACACCCTTAGATACACTTAAGCTGTATGACTCATTAGTATCATATATATTTTTAAATTCATTGAAACCCTTAAATATCTCGATTCGAAGATAAATGGAGGTAAGCCACTTTCAAAATGAACGGCTCATATAATAAATATATAACAAAGTATTTTTAATCTACAAATATATTTTACAAATAAATGCCTTATTGTCAATAAATGATATTTTTTTTAACCTAGGTGGGTACCCCGTGTCCACCTAATGGCGGACCAACCCCTATTTTACAAATTATACAACTGTTCATTTAATTGTACTAACCGTTGTTCAAATTGTATAACATTAATATGCATGTATTCTGTAGTTCAGATTGTATTATTTTTATCAACATAAAATAAATTGAATAAAACCATTGTTCGGAAATTTTTTTAATTTCTTTAAATAACTATATTATACATTACGCCTTATTGTCAATTTCTATTATAATATAATTATGATTATTCTTATTGCCAATTTGTAACCATAGTATAGATTAAACTTGTCCAGCTTAAGTTAAGCCTTTTATTTCTAACATTTTTATTATTCGTTATATTGTGCTTTCGTTTCTATTTCATAATAATTATAATTATATCACAATATAATATAAAAAAGTATTATATTTAATAGAATAATTAATATATCTTATTTAAGGGAAAATGTCTAGACCGAAAAATAACTTCTATCCCTACGTAAATTCAGACTATCTCTTCCAGATGAATAATTACCTCCCGTACAAATGTTTAGTCTAAAATCTTTATTTTGTATTAGAAGAGCATAAGGTTGTTTGTTTGTTTGTTTCCATGTCTAGGCGCAAAACATCCAGGTCATAAGCGCCCGATCAACTAAATAACATCATTTAATACTATTTAGATGATTTGTACAAAAAAAAAAAAAAAAATTAAAAAAAATAAATAAATAAAAACAAATAAATAAATAAATAAATAAAATAAAATAAAATAAATAAAGAAATAAAGAAAGAGCATAAGGTAACAGGAGCTCAACACATATGAAACTGAATAAAAAGCTGTGTAACTGTAATAAAGACACTATAAATCGTTTTTATTAGGATAGTAGGTGGTTATAGGAGCTCAACACATGTGTTATTAAATTAACAGATGTGTAATTAGTGCTGATTATTGAGCACTTATACGAAATGTCACGGCGCTAAACTACACTTTACCCGCAAGGGGTTACTGTTATGCTGGGCATAGTATTTTTTAATTATTACAGGCGCCGTTCCTATTCTCTGTTTAACTGTAACTATTGCATCACTGATTGTAATTTAATAAATGTCTTTACAAAAATGCTCTGCTTTAAATTTTATTATATCATGAAATGACTTCTTAGAAGTCATTTTATATTGTAGTTAATTTGTAGGGGAAAATATATTTATTTTATTAACAAAAAGGAAACAATATATTTATCACCATGAGTATTTAATGTGTCATGATTGGAATTTCAGATCTGGTGAATGTTTTTTTTTTGCATTAAGCAACTCTGTATAATTTTAAGTAAAATTTAAGATAGAAAGTGTCTTTGCCACCTCCTTAAAAATCGTCGAATGAGCTGTACGGGTTCGTGCTGGAATCAAGTGTTTGGGCCAATGGATGTTGTAAGTCATTCTCTAATGGAAGTGTGTATAGTATTGTGAAAGCGTTTCAATGTTTAAGTCTCTGAGTAAAAAATAATTTGTCATTTAGAAATTTGCATCTGCATTTTTCGCAAAAGTATTATTCTCAATTATTAACAAAAGTATGGAATTGGATAGTAGTATTATTCTCTTCAATTCCTGATAACCCTCCGAGGCGTCTGAAAAGAAGATGGTCCCGTGATCTCCTCGTATAGACATGTCATTAGAGTGCTATCATCAGGTAGTTTCTCAACAAGTGTTACCATATGTTCAAATTTAGTAAATGTATTTCCTTTATACAGTTATACAGTAAATATCATTAAGAAAAAAAAAATTCTATGATTCAAATGAAAAGCAAATAGGTGTTCATGAGTGTTTAGTAACACATTATATAGACTATGTTTGCCGATTTACAGATTTAAAACGCATCACTTTATAAGTGACGATAAGAGAAGCGATGTTAATTATTACTATAAATAGGGTGCTTTATCGCGGACTATATATAATATTCGTTTGAATATGTGAAGCACGATGAGGAAATAAGTCGCTTAAATTATATTTTTTACTATTACGGCAGAATGTAAGATGCTGCGTAAAAAGTCAACTTTTTATTGGTAAAAATAAACGAAGATGAAAAAAATGCTAAGTTTACCAATCATAAAAACATTTTAACGCCTCACTAATCATAAATTTATCAAAATGACGAAGATGGAAGAAAATATATATTACAAAAATATATTTAAGTAAAAAGGAAGCATAAACGAGAATAAATTTAACCTATCGAGAATTCACTGAACCGCGATCCCGCGTTCAATCGCCCATAAATGCTTCGAATTCTCTCTTTTTTTTATTGGATTTATATAAATTTACCTTTTATATTTTCGTTTATTTTTTGTTAAATACATTTTTTTATTTTCTGTTGGTCTGAATATCCTACACGTGTGGTATGGAGCCTACGGTACTTGCATGAATCTATATCCTTTTATTAAATAAAATATCTAATATTTTTCATATAATAGTACTTTTTTGAATAATATTACATTATAGATTGGCAATAGCGAGCATTCTTAGTTACAGCCCATCTGTTTATTGTCACGGTTAAGGCAGCTGTGGATGCAAATATGAAGAAGTGAAAATATATATACAAACTCAATAAAATTATAATTATCATCTGTGATTATTTTAAAAAAAAACTGGATAATTTTACCTCACAGACAAAATGATATACCTCATTTCTTATTTGCTTTTAAATATTATTAATTTAGTTCAACACTTTGTAGGCAAGCCATTATTTTCTACCACTCCTTTCAGTCTGTTTGTCGCTCCATTGAGTCAACCATTTTTTTTTTTATTACAGGCTTAGCATGTTCGATTCTTCGAGGAGATATTTTTTAATGTTTTCATTGCTAGAAATTTCGTGTTTTCTACCTTCAATTTTACCAACAGATGTTCTATCACATTAAGATCTTCTGACTGTGGTACTGCATATATTTCTTTCATACGGTCATATATTACCTATTCCTTAACTAACATGACAGAGTATTAAAAATAAAATTTGATTTTCTCCCCAAATTTTCCACAATTTATTTCAAGTTTGTTCTCAAAATGTTTATATATATATGTTTATTTACTATATCATGTGAATATTTTCACTATATAGTAAAGATTTCCTTCACAAATAAACATAACGTTAGAAAAGAACATAAACATAAGAACAAGAAAAAGAACGTAAGAAAATAACACTTTACTAGAATTTTTATTGATTACAATAAAATGATGTTTTAATATAATTTTTTTTTAAATCTCCGTTTCTTCACCCAAACTTGCCATAAGGAATGACAATTAGCGAGTCTGCTGTAGGTAAAGGTACAGGTATTGGCTTGACCGGCGTGATTGAGAGGAGTGCCCAGGGGCATCCATTCCTGTCTTGAATTTAGCATCTTTTTAAGCGAGAAAATCCCTCATCATCCCTTCATAGATTTTCCGTATGTGGTTACTTAAGTAACATGGCATGTACAACATGAACAGAAACTACCCATTAGTAACAATCCAATCATATTTCTATATTAGAAGGTCCCGAGGCCATATTTT